AAAAAAAAGTTTGTTTGGTGTCTAGGAGAAGGGTTAAAAGGAAAGAAACAGAATATGAACTAACAATACTTCTCTTTTTTTGTTGGTAGATTGTGATAAAAAATAGTAATAGAAGAATGTGTTTTTGTTTGTTTAAGTCAGAAGAAAAGAGAAGATAAGAAGAATAGAATTACATCAAATTTCTTCTTCTATTCATTGTGGTATTTAATTTTTAGATCCTCATAAATCTCATTAATTCACTTCTTATGATTAACACACAACATAATATTCATAGTTTATTGGGGAATGCTGAAATACGTTCTATAATCCAATATTTAGGATCGATTAATGATTTAATAACTTTTACAATGATTAATAAGAAATGTCAAAAAATCATTACAACACTAACAACTAACACCAATATCAATCATTCATTTACTAAAAAAGAAATTATATTATCACCTAATTTAAAGACAATTAAAGGTAAAATTAATGATATTATCAATGCTGTTGGTATTAAATATGCATTAAATAAAAATATTGAAGTGAGTATTGAAGATACAGACGATGCAATTCAATGGGAAGGTATAGCTGCTTTATGTTCTCAATTTACAACAGTAAGATATGTGTATCCTCATTTTCTTGGACAAGACATTCTTCGTCTTCAAGGAATATTTGAAAGAGCAAAACAAGTCAAATCAATTAATGTTATTTGTGATGCTCTTGCTAAAGTACTAACTCAAGAAAAAATACATGAAATTGTTTCAACATTTAGTGTAAAGCATTTAATCATCAGTTCATCAGATTTAACTAATAACAAACATAAAGAAGTACTTAATACATTTACTAAATTATTCAATCCTGAAATTGGATTTATAATTATTAGTAAAGCATATTGTTATGAACAAATTATTGAAATAAAACAATTATTACCAAAACAATGGAAAATTGTATTAGATGATCCATTACTTGTATCACAAGCAAAAACAAATGATATTTTATTATCTTCAGGAATATGTTCAAAAGGGTATTGTATTGATGACAATTATTATGAACAAGAAGAATTAAATGAAAATGGTAATGAACAAAGAGAGATAAATAAATTAAATGAAGAACAATTAAAATTTATTCAATTATATTGTCCTACTATTACTTTAAGATATGCTAATCCTTATAGTTTTATTCCAAAAAATACATATAAACTTAGTATCACTGGTCAATTACCTCTTGAAGTAGAAAATCAAGTTGAACTAAGACAATTAGTATTTAAAGAATCTACATTAGAGAAAAGAACACAATACAATTTATGTAATCTAACGAATTTAACTTCTTTAGTTTTTCAATCATATGAACGAAGAAAAAGAATTGTTGTATTTCCTTTGTCTTTAAAAAGATTAGAAGTTACTTATGACCAAGAAGATGATCAAGAAGACTCTGATCTTCCAAATCCAGAATATCATCCATTAGGATTAGCTTCTCTTACACAACTCACTTTTTTAAGAATGTTTCATTATAAAAAATCATGTATTCATCTTCCAGAATCTATTGTTTCTATAGAATTAAAGTATTGTAAAGTAACATCATTAAGTCCTTTAAATCAAACAAAACATCTTGAATCTATTTCTCTTTATTCATGTAATATTAAAACATTAGAAATAAGTAAATCTGTTAAAAATGTTAAACTTATTAATTGTACTGAATTAAAACAATTAAAAATTGATGGTGAAAATACTCAATGTCATTTTGATATTAGTGGATGTCCTAATGTTGTGTTAGAATAAATGTAATTGTTATTTCTTTTTTTTTGTGATTAAATTATGTTAATAACTGCTTGTTAATCAACATTGATAATGATGTTGTTGGGATTTTTCATTAACTACGAACTAAAAAAAAAGAAAAACTGAAAATGATACTGAAAAGAAGTTATGAAACAAACACAATTACAAGAGTCTATTCAACAATTTGTTATTAAATATCTTTCACAAACAAATATAGAACAAAAAGAAATTATTGTTTCATCAAATCCAATAACAACAATTTCTGCTCCAATTGTCGAGTTATTTAATGGAATGACAAATGAAGCATATGGAGAACCACAAGAACTTCTAACAAGTACTGTATCTCCATTTCAAATGATAAATGCACTTAGAATTGTTTGTCCAAAAGAAATATCAAATAAACCCAATATTATTTTACCATTTCAATTTTGCAATTTTGTTCATCTTAAACAACTTATTATAGAAAATCTTCATTGTCAACTTAACTTACAATTCGGAAGTTTAAAAGATGAATTGATTAACCTCCAAATTATTGGTTGTGTTATTCCTTCAATACAAATAAGTCTCTTTCTTCAACCTGAATATCCTTGGAAACAACTAAAAAAACTTGCACTACGAAATTGTGGTATTACTAAAATCCCTCCAAAAGTCTTTAACCAAACACATTTTCCAAAGTTAGAATGGTTAGATTTGAGTTATAATTCCATTAGTGTATTGGAAAATATTGCAGATAGACCATTAGATACATTGTTAATATCAAATAATAAAATTCAACGTATCAAATCAAGATATGTTGGTTCCATTTCAACATTGAATCTTGATCACAACTCAATCACGTCTATTACTAATTTATCATCCTATTTCAATCTAGTGAATTTATCAATTCAAAATAACAAGATTTTTGATTATAACCATCTCAAAGAGACTTTCTCAAAAATGTACTCATTAGTTGAAGTATCTCTAAAAGGAAATCCAATTGCTACCCATCCAGAATATCGTCTCAAACTTACTACACTTCTTCCTGCATTCGATTTTGGAATGGATATATTCATTGACAAATTCCCTCTCACAAATGATGAAAAAACACATGCCATAGTTGCCTTACAACAACAAAACAATACAATTTATAATACTTACTCTGAAAAGAATGAAGAAGAAGATAATGACCAAGAAAGTGATGATGAATTACTTGGTACATTACAATTACATGAAGAGGATATAAATGAAAAGAAAAAAGAAGAACAAACTAAAGAAATAAAGAAGATAGAAGATGGAAGTGATGAAATAGAAGAAACTGATGTCTTAGAATTCTTAAGAAAAAAGATAATTAACAATGACTATAAATTCTTGGATCTTGTCAAGAAAATGATTAACAAAGAAGAATTTGAGAAAATTGAAGATCAATCTCCAGAAGATATTAAAAAAATGATTGAGTCTGGAAAGAATATTGAGATTGACAAAAGCAAAGTAAAGTCTAAAGGTAAATTACGTGTTATTGTAAGTAATGATAATGTTGATAAAGTCTTACAATGTCTTAATGAACCAGAACTAAAACCAATTAACCCATTCATCATAGATGATAAAGAAGAAGATGAAATTGCAACAAATGACGATTTAACAAACATTTTGAAGAATTATAAATTGGACAATGAATAAGTGAATGTTTTAGTTGTTGGTTTAAAACATCAAAAAGAAATTGGAAAAAAAATTATTGAAAACTATAAAAATAACCCTAAAAAAGGAATTAGGAAAAACAATTGCTAATGAAAACAACGGAGACTGGTGGTGTGAAAGTATATAATTTAACAGCAGGAAAAACACTACCACAATGGTTAAGTCAAAAAAAGAAAAAAGAGTTAAGAAAAGATGAAGATTTCCAAAAAAGAATTGAATTAATTCAAGACACCGAATTTCCAGTAAATTCTCAAAATGTTAAGTTTTCTCCTGATGGACAATTTCTTGGTGCTACTGGAATGTATCCACCAAGGATTAGGATGTTTGAATTAGATCAATTATCACAGAAATTTGAAAGAAATTTAGATGCTGAAATCACCAAATTTGAAGTTTGTTTTAATAGTTATTTAAATAATAATATAATCAAAAAA